TCTTTCAGATAATATAATAGAGCATAAAATCACTTCAGTTAAAGTTGCACAGGAGATTAGAATTTGCAATATTCCTGTTTTCACGTTTCGCAAATCGGACGTATACCGTATGTATTGACACACTTCATGAGTAGAGGGAAAATAAAAAAAATTGACCCTTGCGAAGGCATGTATCGTATCTCGGCCTTCAGCCGCTGCGTCCTTGAAACAAGATCCTGAATTCAATTATTTAGAATTCAACTAGAATTCAACTACAGCCTAAGAAATTTTCTACGATTTTACTCAAAATAACCCAGAACTTTTAATATTTCGAGAAATTGTTCTTAAAGTATTGAAAAATGTAATATTTTTTATCAATAATCTAATAGCATAAATCTTTAAGTTATCTTTATTATCTTTACCAGGATAACAAATATTTTTATACTGAGAAAATGTAAATTTTTTTAGTATTCTCGTAGTAAAGAGAAATTATTGCAGTAATAATGAACGAAGTCGAAAGTTTGGCGGAAATATAAGGATTGGGAGTCTCAAATACCGAAAAGTATTTTTGAATGTGTTTCTCCGTAGTAATTTGTATGGTCTTGAACCTTCACTGAGTTTTTTTCCAAAATGGATAATTCCCGATCGATTTGGTCGCCCATGAGATCCTGCGAAATTTGAGAGCTCTATGCATGCCTAGTACTTTTTCAAATTTTTGTCGACAATGAATCCAAGGTTTACTTTCTCGCCGATTGCATATTACGTAAAAGTAAGTACCTCTAGTAATGCTGCAGCGAAAAATAGCGATTTTTTGACAGAAAAACTTGGGTTGAGGGTTCCTGATACCCAGAAAATGAACAATTTTTGATCCTACGTGCTGTAAATTTGTTTTCAGAATCAACGTTTTGTAAGTCCTTGCTAGCCTCTTATTTGGGGACAGCACTAACATGTAAACGTCACGCTGAACGCGGGAATCTGCAAATTTGAAACGGATATTTTGATACTATGGTGTACATTGCTAGCAGCCTCAACGACATTTTTTTAAAATTTTACCGAAAATGGCTCCAAATTTTTGCTTTATATTTTTTCCTCAAAGAGAGCGAAATATGTTTATGAAAACGTCTCAGGTTCGGTTTTCGTTGAATTCTTGAAACGTTCAAAAATTAATTTTAATTTGTTTGTCGTCATCCTAGAACTTCAGTTTTAAAAACAGATTTCTTCTTAATTTCCTTAAAAGGAGATCTGGAAATATTGTCAATGAAAATTTCCGATTTTTTAAAAAATTGCAAATATATCCACTGAGGCAACAACCCAAGAATTGACCGGATCCTAAACATAATGGTCCTGTGTCAAACGTCCTATTTCTTCATTCATTTTACCACGGGAAACGATATTTAAAGTTTTAGTGAACAAAATAATAACTGCGAGATCTGTGAAATCTGCACTCAGAGAATCTGCGATATTCGGATGATCCGTGACCACCTGAGTGCAATACGAATGTACTCTTCGAAAACTGAGCTGCCCTTCGTTGATATTTGATATTGTCCTTAACCCATTTTTCGGGTAAGTATTTTGTTAGCAAGTGTTTGATTTCCTAACACACTCATAACGTAAAACTCTTCGAGCGATAATTCTCGACAAGTTGACGCCAGTCTCCTTTAAAAATTAGACAGTTGTCGAATCCTGAAGAATGCACGAGTATTTTGCCATCTCGATAAATTGCAGTAGTATATACTTCCCCTGGAATTCATCTTCTTTATTGCCATATTTCCCACAGGCACTGCACTTATTCATAAAACAATATTTCGGAAGGTTCGTGGACCCACTAGTTGACGCAACTTTGACGTTCCCGGACTAGAAAGGAACACTCATGCCCAATATTATATATTTTGATTTTTTCTTCACCTTTGCTTGGGGCTTTAACTTTCTTGCGCTCTTGTGTTTTTATGTCAAATATGCGTTCGCGAGACGATACTGTTGCCGCAGACTAACTTGATTCCATCCCTATACTATATATTCCAGCTTCATCGTGAGTCATGGAGCAATTTATTAAATAACATGAAGTACACATTTTATTGAGTATAAAAATTTAATAGCATGCTTTAAATAATTGATCATACTATCGTCTGTAACATCCATGTCCTCTGGACCAAAAAGCAAACAACTTCCCTTTGAGAATGATTCTTATATTTTGTTCTTTTATGTAGTGCACACCGTATATGTTGTTCTTATTATTATTATTATTATTATTATTTATACTATTATTATATTTAATTGATCGATCTTAATTGAGCAATAGGGAACAGGCGCAATCGTATATCGGACTTTTTGCTGCGTCGAAAGGTGTCTGTTGATGTTGAAGATTTCCTGTGAATTTGCCGCGAATGCAATTGCGTCTCGAGAAAAGTGTTAACGCTATCTTATCTGTAAATAGATAATTAAAGAATACTTGGTTTCCTGCCTTACTGAGTGCAAGATTCAAGATACAGGACGATTTATTTTTTAAAGGCCGCATTTTTACCGCTCACGCAATCTTACAAAGTATAAGAAAATTTTAAATCTTTGAAAATATTTACGAAAATTTTTAGATCTCCCGAAAACTTTTGATATTAACCATATCACGTTGGTTTCAAAATTACCTTCATATGGAATACGTGTTACTGCCTTTGCCTGGATATCCTCGTTCCTTAAACATCGATCGCAAAGAGAGGATATAGCGTACTACCACGAAAGAATATTATTTACTCATCTTTCCAATTCTTTACCAATTGACAATGAGATCCCGCAGTGTTCAATTTTAGGCCATATCTTCTGTCTTTTGTACATAAACGGTATGCTATCATTCTTTAAAAACTGATAAACAGTACTGTTTGCTGATGACTTGAATATTCTTTGAAGAAAAGAAGCAATTAATACTTCAACCGTTTAAGATGTTCCAAATTGGCTCCGTAGTAACAAATTAATAGTAAACGACTGAAAAACTGTTTCAATCCACTTTTGCATTTCAAACCGGCAATTGCATGCTCCTTTGAAACTGAACAATATGCAATTAGCTGATGTCAAGGTAACAAAATTTCTGGGTGTCTCAATTCGAACAAATCAAAAATAGAATAACCATACAACTGAATTAAACACTAAATTAAGTTCATTAGGTTACGCATTGGTAATTCCTTCAAATTCAGTCAGCTCTTATGCAGCTTGTTGATTTATTTCGCGAATACACTTCCTCGCTTATGATATGGCATCGTATTACGAGGAAACACTTTATGCACTTTAGTGAGAAAACCTTTAGATTGAAGAACAAATTGTACGAATAATAGGAAATGGAATTCACGCTTTCATTGAGCCTGTAATCTTACCATTGTTCTGCCTAATTATTTACAATTCTGTAGATTTTATCAAAACATATTTAATGATAGGAACATATTTTCATGCAATACAGATTTTTTATTACAACACGCGTTGTAGGAAACATACTTATCAGGCGTAAGTATTAACACTTCACTCCAAATAATCCATATATAATATATATGCGTCACTTTTCAACACATTATCAGATGACATCAAACAATTAAAATCGATACTCAAATTAAGCATCAAGTAAAACGTTTCAGCTCCATAACTGTGTCTATATTATTAGAGACTTTATTGACCACGAAAAATAAAATTTAAGACCATTTTAATAATGATGTATAATGCATTAGAACGCACATCCACAGTATAATTTTAAAAAGACTAAATATGGTGTAGCAAATAATGTACTTCAGCTCAATAACATTCATCTAGATCAGATTAGTCGTCCAGTTTCCCTGTTACATTGAACAACTAGATGTTAGATACTTTGCTTCAGGACATAAATGTTGCTTTTCTACTCGCACGTTTTATTGAGGTCTCCTTTTGTTAGTTGTAATGGAGTACATCCAGGATACTACTAGTATGGGATACTATTTTGTTAGCAATGTTAAAGTTAAATCAAATCTGTCGTTCGCTTATCAAGAACTTAAGTTTTCTACAATTCAGAGCGAAAATCGCTAGTTTTCCAAATGTTGTTTATCTCGTTTTGTTGATACTTTTATTTTGATTCTGAAGATCAAGAGAACGTGCGCAGATAGTACATTTTCCTCATACGTACGTCCCATTCAGTTTTTACCGTTTTTTGTCGAAAAGAAATCAGAATTATATCAAATGTATAGTGAAATTACAGTAACTCTAATAAAATAATATTACTTTTTGTTTAATTGAAGCACAAATAAGTGAGTATAAGCCATTATATTTGGAAAATGTCATCTCTATCACATTTTACTAATGCATATTGGTTGCAGTGGCATTGTAGATGCAATACGGTAACACATTAAAACAGTTCAAATAAAGCTCGGGAATGATGTTTTGACTTGTCAGTTCTGTGTTGGTTTCATATTTGACTTAATATTGAGCAAGGTCTGTGACTGAAATGTGCCTCTTACTCATATCCAGCATCCTTTTCTTATACCTCAATTTAATTAGAATGTATTGTTTCGAGATGAGATGTACAGAAACCACGAGTCCTATGTTTGTATCTATAAGGTTTGTTGAAAGAACTAATATTTAATAATTATGTCGCAAGTTGATGAATTAATAGTTTCAAAATGTTCACAAACGAAAGTTTTAACATGTTCGGTGTATTAATAACTTAAAGTAAAAACTTACAGCCCAAGATATTCATAAAAAAGGCATTCTAAAATTATTGCATTATGCTAAGCTAAGTAGCGAAAACTGATCTGTACCAATAAGTTTAAATTCAAAATACAGAACCACAATTCGTGTTGGCGCAGAAATAACGCTGTCTTATGTGTCAGGAAATGAATTCAAATGAAATGAGTTCTTTTGATAACGTTTTTGTACCGGAATGTAAAATGTCTTCTCTGTTGTTTGGATTCATTGACTGGTTTACAGTACGTACTAATTCTCCTCCCCTAAAATATATATTCCATTAAAGAGATAACCAATGAAGTGTTGTATCAATTGATGCGTTATCTTTCCAGTGTTGCGTTCGGAGGTGGTTGAAGGGGAGAGGCGAAGCGGGAGAGGTGTGAGGGCATATTGACGTTATCCTGTCAGGGGACCGATAAGCCCTGATCCTGACCAATCGCCACACACCAGCGCATCACAAGGTGAAAGATAACAGAATTCAGAGCCGAAGTACCGGTGCTTCCAGCTCTCAGACCTCCTAGAGAAATCGTGGTGACGAAGTGACAAGCTACTCTCCTACGTTTTTGTGCAGAATATCCATGAATTAAACAGTTGTTTCGTTGTCCTGTGTTTGTGTGGTGAATCTAATTCCTTAAGTGTTATATAAAAGACAATTCGTGAGTCAGTGTAGTTTTCTTTTACTATCATTAGGAAGATCATCTGAAGGTTTCGAGTCACTGCCAGAAGACATCGAATCAGTGAATATTTTGACAAACTACGAGCAATCTGATTTTCAAATACCACCTCATTCACAGTACGGGTTCTACAATATTCAAGTGAGTTTTTAGCACAAACACTCTCTACCAATTTTATATCATTTCTTACGCTTTGCATATCTTCTTGGCACACAAAAAGTGTCATATTTGCTTCAATTGTTCGTACACTGTTAAAAATTTAGATGGAAATGCTCAGCACGCTTAATGCCTTGGCTGGGAAAATCTCGCCTCAAAGCGGCACGGACAGCAATGCTAATAAAGTGAGCATCCAAAATAATAACAACAACAATAATACGTCGCCGCATCCGCACCCGTACAGCAAACCAGCTCCTCCCGTGCCAGCATCGTCCGCTTCGGCATCCCCTGCGAGCAACGCGTACGGGGACTCCAAACTCCCGCCTGCAAATGGGGCGTGCTCCAGCCCGGAAATGTAAGTAAACTTCCGCCAGAGTATTTCTCTTCTCCTCCACCTGGAGCGTTCTTCATCGCAGCTTCCTTCGGCGTACTAGAGCCGATTTTGTTTTAGACACACTGTAGATTGTACAGTAGAGTATACTTGTAGTGTAGAGCTGTAGAGATTTTCTTCTGACTTGTAGACTCTGTTATCTTCGTTACATCATTACGTATTGTATTATCATTTTGCGGCGGCTTGTTGGTGATCTGTAGTTGCAGAGAAATGTTGGAGGAATTCAAGTTTTCTTTGACACAGAACGAGTGTCCAATGGTAATAATACATGTACGGCCGTAATCAAGTGTTCGTCTTCTTCAGAAGGAAGCATGTATCCATAAAGTTCGTGAAAACCGCACCCGAGAGCATTCTTCAGCAAAATTACATTTTGTGCACAGGCCTCAAGTCAGTCGACGAAGAAACACATCTCGGCTTAATTGAAAACGCTTCACCCTAAAAAGACGAACAAAGATTTTTGGGGTCAGTCTGCTACCGTAGCATCCGAGCCCTGCGCAGTTCATTCAAAAAGAAGGTGCGGTCTGGCGGCGGGGCGACGGGGAGGCATAGTCGCGAGGTAGCTTAGCGGCGGTGGGGCGGGGCGGTGGGCTCTGTGACGCCTCCCAACTAGCCCTCAACGCGCCTGGGAAGCAGCCAAAAATCTGTTCCACACTTCTACGAGCCACGAATAGCAGTAGCTCTCTTTTGACGCTCTTTTTATTTTAATTGGAAATAGAATTATTACAATCAGCAATAAAGTCATCTTTCCTGAAATGTGTGGAAGGATGCTCGTAATTACGAAATTATATGAGAGGTAAAATAATTAATGTAATTAATATAGTGTACTCTGTAATAAATTAATATATATATACTATATATATATATATTATAAGTACGTTGTTATATTATATTATATATACTTATATATATTTGATTCAGGGGTGACGAATCGTAATCAAATGCGCTATAAGACTAGATTAACAAAACACTGAATATACTTAATATGATTAATCTTTCTCGAGTTTATGTATTCAATGCTGAGTAGATATTCAGAAATTTTACTGCAACAAAAAAAAACAGTCTTTGAGTTATAAAAAGTTTCGATGCATTCGTTCAAATCACATAGCAACTTGCACTTTGAAGATATTTTGTCAGGGTACTACACTATTAGGCATTAAGCACTAGGCACATTCACTGTATTAAGCTTCGATGTGTTTGGAAACCAATAGCCGTTGTAAGAGCTTCTAATAGGAGCTTGTTTCACGATATTTTTAAACAAAAAGGACGCGTATATACAAACACACACAACATACCACACACACACACCATTCATCCTCCATATATACATATATATACATATTATATATGTGTGTGTTGTGTGTGTGTGTGTGTGTGTCCGTTGATATGCCGGCAACTTAGAATGCTGCAATGAAAATAGATATAAATTAATCTGTATAGTGCAATATCTAGACGCAGCTACGCAGTGTTTGCTCGGTTTGGTCAGCAGTAGAGACAAGGCTCCAAACATGAGGAGGGAGCTTTGGTGAGGCGATGCGAGTTCGTGTGGTGTCGGAGTCTGTTTGGTTGCCAACAAGGTAACCGCACTTCTCGAAGAAGGACAGGTGCGGACTTCGGAGATATGGCCGGCACGCCGTTGTCCTTTCGAGAGAACGATTTCTTGTTTGGAGGCAAATATGGATAAAGTGGTCGTAGGACGTAAGTCGTAGTGAGACAGCGTGTTGGCTGCTTAGTGGCGCAGGGCGTTAAGGTCCTGCGAGAGCCACTTCGCGTCGCGTTCTCCCGCGGCCCGGACTGTCTCGCGGCTTTTATCACGTATTTTTCTCTCGGGAGCGCAGGTGGCGGTGCGTCCTTCCGCCCTCCGCCCCCGACGCGGCCGCTTCGGCGGCGCACGTTCGCAGCAGTTTTATCGCGCCGGCGTACACAACCGAGCTCAGCCCCCCCCTGGACCTACTGCTACTGCAACTCCCGCACTGCCCGTCCATCCCCCTCTCGACCTGTCGCACGTACACGTACAGTGCGCTTCGATACGTGTCATCGGTGCCCGGTCGCCGCGAACACAGACACCCACCATCCTTTTTTATTAGCTGATTACCCGGCGTTGATCAGTTATTTATTTCTCCGTCTATTCTAGCAGCCCTCCCGCCTGTCCCAACCCCCTCACTCCACCCTCCACGCCACCTCACCTTTCGCACGCCTCGGCCGGCTCCATTCGGCAACAATGACGTCGCCTAGAGATAGTTGAATGAGATGTGTTCTTTATTTATATTAATAATTGCTGTTGGACAAGTCGTTAATGTTGTACTTTTGTAGAATTACAAATTAAATTCATCAGTTAAAAATATAAGTAACATACAGTAAGGAAATAAAATTAATAATAGTATTTGCACTCTTTATTAAACTCTAACTGACGCTTCAATATATAAAACATTTAGAAAAATTAAAACATTGATTTAATTTACATCATTTAACTTTGAATGGACTACTCAAATCACTTAATTTTTCACATTTTTATGGCACCACTGTACAGGCTGTCCCAAAATAAGTTACAAACTAATAGTGAGTGATAACTAGAAAGTGAACATTTGTAGCGATGAACGAGTAATGGGAAATTCCTTGTAACGGATTAACGCATATGATATTCCTCCCGATTGCTAGATAAATGCTGATGCACTCGTGGTTGGCAGGTACATAAAATCACTTTCACTTCGTTAGAACGTGACCCGAACACCAGTGCTTCAGATATTGCTAAAGAATGATGAAAATGTAATATGTGCAACTCCTTTATATGAAATTCCGTCTTCAAGTCCTATATGTAACACTTAATCAGAGACCGCTGCGTAGTTGTGTCATAAAAATTGTGAAAAGTACTTGATACGAGTAGCTGTATTTTACAACCGTAACATTTTTAATATTCTTATTACAAAAAGAACTCTTTTACTCTGTATTCGTATATCACAAATATTGTAGTATTCGTCAAGTCTGTTTTTGTTAAATATTTAATATATTGCAGTGGTATGCGAGTGTACTTATTTTTGAGCATTTGCATGCTACCTTTTGGAAACCTGTTTTGTGTGGTTTTAATTAGCATCATTTTTGTTCCTGACACGTCATTATTACACATTTTTACATGTAACTTTCAAATTAAAAACTATTTCTTATACTACTTTGTTTAAAATATTCATTACTTTGTGGGTTGTAATTATTTTATGACAATATTTTTCGGAGGTTAAGTAGGGAACTATTTTGAGCATTAAGAAGCTCAATAAATTTATTTTCGAAGGTGGAGTCTATTTTGAAAAACGAATCTAACATGTTGAACAAAGCGAATGCGGGTACACCTGCAGGGGATGTGTTGTTTATCACAGATATTCTTAATAACTATTTATGCTGCAACAACATAAACTATTCCGCAGTTTTTCATTGAACCCTCTGAATTTTAGAAAATTGCATAAATTAGTAGTTTTGCAAGAAACCACTAGTTGTTTAAGCATCGAAAAAGTTGAGTTTAGCCGTGCCACTGGTGGTGTTGTGGTGACGGGATTGAAGTGTAAACCCGAAAAACCTGGATTCGAATCTCCACGCTGACAAGTAATGTTTGCTGGTTTGTAAAACTTTGCATGTTCATGTAGTATAATGTTGCGTAGTCACTACAAATAATGAGATAAATTATGTGCTGTTGTAGCATCACTAGTTATGCAAGAAATGAGCTGCCGTGGAAGAAAGGTAGGTGGACTCTTATCGCACGATGCGGAGAGGTACGTCGTAGGTACATTTTACGTCATGGCATATGCCACAAATGCCAACCTCAGTGGCCGAGGTACTTAAGCGCGTGTGCCGACTCAGCACCTTGGTCTGAAGATTAGTAGGTTCGAGTGTCACCATGGGCATAGTTGCATGTCCCCTGTCTTTCCTGTATGTGTGTTGAAGCGGAGCGACAGATTTCGGAGATTCATCGTGAATCTGCTGACTTCAGACCGAAGAGCCCGCAAGTGTGTCAGTGTCTAGTGTAGAGGTTAATATGTGTACCCATAAAAAAAACATAGTGGGTTCCCGTCGGGTATAGTCGAAATCTACATCCCTTGAAGCTGTAAAAGCTCCAGGAGAGAAAAATCCAATGCACAATAACTTCGAAATAAAACATGCCGAAAATATTTTGACGTTTTCTCTCAAAATGTTGCGCTAATTACAATCGTATTTGCCGTTTATTTTCTTTTAGAACTACCCTACAAAATGTATACTTACCATATGTACCCCTTGATAATTCCGCAAGACTATGAATAAATAAATAAAATTTAAAAAATAAGAACTAAGCAGTAAATAACTGAACTAGTTTCATTTGTGCATGATACTGGAGTTTGAATGATGCTGGAGGATTCGCAGATTTGCAGTTAACGGCTCATTACAAGCTGCTATGTATGCTCTAAATGGGGTAGAAATTTTACTCCATATATTTCATAATTTATGTAATATATTTTCGTTTATAAAATTGACATTTGTATGGCCTTTAGTTTATCTCTTCCGCCCGACTGAATGCCAGCGGTGCGTATCCTTCAAACCAGTGCGCCGTGTCCAGATCATAAATATGAGCATATCATGCTATCTTTTTTAAGTTAAATTGAAACGCAAACATTCTCTTTGAAGGGTAGTAATATTGAAATAAAATTTATAATCTATGACGCAATGCCACATCGCAGCGGGATCGTATTTCTAAACATCGCAAACTAAGTTAAATTTATAATGTTATTCTAGGACTTTAAAGAATCATGTAGGGCACTTTTCTCTGCAATGATAGAAACAAGGTCCTACACCTGTTATTTTTATAAGTTAGAATATTATTACTCCATAAACATTGTCATCGTTCGAGCAGTTATATAATAAGAGTATTAAATGCTGTCATACAGTTATCTCTCAGTGTATTTTCTTTGTTAGAAAATGTTTGTACTTTCTACTGCGAGATATAAATGAAATTATTTTTAATCTTATTTTTAGTTTAAGAGACCATTTTTCCAAATAGCGAATTGCATGATTCTGAGTAGCTTGTCCCAAATTCGTTACGCCATAACAAATAGTACTATTCTATAAATATAAACTCCAGAGGATTCCATGGGTTCAACGCCACGAAAAATAATTATACACCAGGAGGAAATGCCCGAATGGGAATCTGCCAACAGGAGAGGAATGCACTCAAATCCACACTTTACTGAACTAATCACAGAAAGACAAGAAGCGGTCGCCACCATGTTGTCTCATTGCGTGATTGATGCTCCGAACAGCACCTGCGACTGTACTACAATGTAACAAAAGCTGCCCCTGTGCGTCACCTGCCACCAACCCCTCTCAGAACAACCAAACCACTCACCCAGTCCATGCACACACGCACGCGCGCATGTGCAAGATAACACACCCAGATGTTGGTCGCTCTAATCTCTGATACGCTATTTTCTCATTCACTAATTACACTTTCTCTGAGACATGGAATTTTATCTACGAATCTTATTAATTATTTCATGATGTGAGTCCTGATGTGATATATTAATATACCTTGGGATAGAAATCGACAATACAAAAAAGGGTTGTTAAAAAACAACTTCACATTTTAATGCAATTTAACACTTTTGTGTGTCACTTCACCCAGCTCTAAATCGTCACAAAATGAACGGGAAAGTCAAAAAATGAAAGAAGATAAAGTACTGTTTATACTATAACTGACTGACATAATATCAAATGCAAATTTTAAAACAGAACGCTTAGCTCTCGCGTGGAAAAAAATTAGCTTTTCTTGTAATCTTCATTGCGCATGACCATTCGGTATGACAACTACTAATTTATTTTACTCGCGACGCTGTCTATAAAATGCTATTGGGAACTCTCTTTTCAATCTTGCAATCGTACGTAGGAAACGGAATTTTACATTTCGCTTTTCGCACTTGTGTAATCGCCAGAAGGAAAGAAAGAACAAGAAGGAACACAGGAGGGTATATCATGTATAGATAGCTCTGTCCTCAAAAGATATTCGAGGCCATACTCAAACACACGATGGTATTCCTCGTGAGCGAACACGTCTGTCAGCATCAATGAAGAATATCAAAAATCTTCACTAGTTTCATCTTTCTTTCCCTTTTACATTTTTGACACAACCTCACACTAGAGCCTTCGCGTCCACCGAAAGACAATACACGACATACCTTCATGTTGTTCAGACTTCAGGGTACGTTTCCAGCTTAATAGAGATTAGTTCCAGGAGGGAAAGGGGAAAATAATATCGAAAATGGCACAAATAATGCAAAATTACAAAAATAGTAATCAAAAGCTAAAATAGGCAAAATGAAAATCAACTAAAATAATTTCAAAACTACGAGTAATTGATTCCTATTGTTAAAAGTCATAATATCGTAAAAATAATAAAAGGGCATTTTGACAAACTTCCGGGCTTTAATTATCATCACCGAGTACGTTATTTATCTTATCACTTTAAAAAACGGCTCTCATCGAGTTTAAACTTGTATGACTGCGTAATTAGTTTCTTGATAAGACTGTAAGTTTATTACGGGAGTTCATGTGTTTTAGTACTTCTCATTAGCAGTATGACGACCAACCTTTAAAAGTGGATATCTCCCTAAATAGCCTGAGAGTAAATCCCGCTATATATTTCGCCATTAAGTAGAGGCATTTCAGAAATTT